TAGTTTAGAAATAATTTGTTGAGATTGATGGAGTAAGAATTTTATAATTTATTAACTATATTTAACCAAAATTTACATTGGTTGAGACTGATGTAGATGCTCTTAGATTATGATTGTTAAACACTGTATTTTCTAAATTGAGTCCAAAGCTCATAAAATTTAAAATAATTTTAAAAAAACAATTATAATAAAATTATGTGATTATGATTTTCATATCAATCTAATAATTTCATCATATTTGTAAAAAAATGAGTGTCAAATATAAATTAAAAAATATAGCATATGATGAAATTATGTAGTTAAGATTATCATGATAATTTGATTTTTTAAATTTTATTTATTTATTTATTTTTGAATGCTTTTAATGCGCATGAAGATAAAAGCTGCAGGACTCCAATCATCTTAACGGGTCCTAATTGGACTAGAAACCAACCGCTTCACCCGAAATTTTTTTTTTTTTGGTGGAGAAAGTGATAAATTAATAACGGTAATGATTAAGGCCCCGAAATTTAGATCTTTATGAATTCTAAAATGATTTGGACCATTCATGTAAGAGAGATGGAGGGGAAAAAAAAAAAAAATTGGGGGTCATGGGAATCCCCAAAATTTGGGGTCTAACTCATTTTCCAATTAATAAATTAAATTCAAAATTTTAATTTGAATTCAAATTATTTTAAATTTTATGAGCTTTGGACTCAATTTAGAAAATACAGTGTTTAACAATCATAATCTAAGAGCATCTACATCAGTCTCAACCAATGTAAATTTTGGTTTAATATAGTTAATAAATTATAAAATTCTTACTCCATCAATCTCAACAAATTATTTCTAAACTTGCTTTTGGTTAACTTTACTATAGTATATCACTACATGTAAAGATATATTGTTCATAGGGTATATAATATTTTATCATTTATTGACCTGACATCTTGTCTGTCATCCGGCCGGGCATCCTGCTAGACAATCGACTGTTGCACAATTTTTATTTTATTTTTTATTTTTTTGTAGGAATATGAAACTGTATAGATATATCCTAAACACTTTAGATGTCTGGGCAGAAAACCGCTACTGGGCACAAAATTTTTTTTTATTTTAATATGAAACTGCATATATATAACAATACAAAATTAACTTCTCCTATACTACTTTGATTGCTTTTTAACAATACAAAATAAATATTTTATAAAATTTAATTTTAGAATAGAGGATTCGATATAGTGTGTACATACAAAAAACGCTAGCTAAAATAAAAAAGTAATTTTTTAGTTATAATTTGACTCAAAATTTGTTGAGACTGATGTCACTACAAGAAATGACAATTTTGGCGACCAAAATATTGGTCGCCAAAAGTCTCATTTTTGGTCTCCAAATCTAATTAGTGACTAAATTTTTTTGTCGCGAAGTACGTTGCCTATACCCTGTCGGCGATAGTATTGGCAACTAAATTATTTTTGGTCGCCGAAAGTTAAACATTTGGCTACTAAACTTTGGTTAGTTGGGAAAGGTGATCTTTTGGTGACTAAATTATTGGTCGCCGAAATTGAATTTTTGGCTACTAAACTTTGGTTAGTCGGGAAAGGTGATCTTTTGGTGACTAAATTATTGGTCGCCGAAATTGAACTTTTGGCTACTAAACTTTGGTTAGTCGGCAAAGGTATCTTTTGGCGACTAAAATATTAGTCGCCGAAAGTTCTCACATAAACTAAATTAAACTATTAGAGACTAAAATTTTAGTCGCTAATAGAATACGTACATTTAACAACCAAACACTTTAGTCGCCAAAGGATGTTATGTTTTTAGTGACTAAAATATTTAGTCGGCAATTAAACTTCCCTCATTCTGATTTGTTTTAGCTACTATGTGGTTTGGTCGCAAAAAGCCATTTGGTTATTTTTTGCTACTAAATTATTGGTCGCCAAAACATTTGCTTACATTTTTGAATACCAACATATTTAGTCGCCAAATACTATATTAAATTTTTTATTTTTTATTTTTATAATTTCTGAACCACCTGTATCCATTATTAGTGCAACCTGTACCCTATATAAATAATATAATCCATCAATATTGAATATATTACCAACCATTCAACAAAGTGCACACATTTCACTTCCAACCATCCAAAAAATTTATATTCAACGTCCAATTCTAAATGTAATACAAATTCCATACGAACCACGTATAATCCAACCCCAATAATTTAATTCCATACATAATAGAGGATTAACCAAATTTAGTATCCAATATCCTCGTTAGATGTCTAACATAATTTAATTCCATACATAAGTGCATAGTGGGTTCCCCGAAATGCTTCCAATATCCACGTTAGATGTCTAATGCCAACAGTCCTAGCCGTGTTAAACCCAAAAATAAAATAAAAGAAAGAAAATGTAACAAACAGATACAAGGTGCTGGGACGGACCCAAGATTATAACTATGGGGGTGCGAAAATAAGTTTGGGTGTGCAAATCCTTATAATTTTTAATTATTTTAAAATTTCTAATATAATAAGTGATATTTTTCAAATTTTAGGGGGGTGTGCCCCCCACCTGCCCACCCACCCTAGATCCATCGTTGGTGCTGATCTCATACATATAAATTCACTTGTAAAGGAAAGAATTATGAAAGAAATAACTTTTTTGAGGAATGAAATGAAAAGCTCAGACAAAGAACTTCTATTTATTTTTCTGGACTTATCCGATCTAAACTTGTTTATATTCTCAGCACATATTTATTCAATATATCTCTCTGCAACAACCCTCACACCTGCAATAAAACATATATGACAAATTATTAACCAAGCCGTTACGAAGATTTGGCAACTGTGGCTTTCATATTCACAAGTTATGCAACCATGGAATTCAATCTTCTTTGGTCAAATACTAGTCCCATTTTGCATCTCTTGATTCTCAAACCTACTAAAATGGACCAACATGCAAAAAGTTTTCTCAGATCACTTTCATTTTCTTAGAATCTTTCAAGTTTTCGATATCAACTCATGGAAGACCAAAACCCTGCTTGTAGAATATTTCTGACAGAATTCGTAAGATGTGGAAAATTGAAGCCTCAAACATGCACTTACACTAGTACCGGGACCACACTGTTTATGTTAAGAAGTACCAACAGAGAGAGAAAGCCCTCTATTGGACCTTAAAACACAATAATAATTTTTTTAGAATCTAATGCAGTCTTCATGTAATGGAAAGATAATAAATCATTCTTTTGGCACTTTAACTTCCAACTTCACAAGGAAATTTTAAATATTTTCTTTTATTGATAGGTTTCAACTTAGTATCTAAACTAATTATAGATTAAAATGTAAAATGTAATGTCGTGTTGCCTGTATCTTTATTAATTTCAGAAGAATGTAATGAAAAAAAAAAAAGGGCCAAGAGAGAGGACAAGTACCTATCAGGTCATCAACTATATTTCCTGGGTAGATTTCTTTAAGAGGAGGTAAAAGTGGAGGTACACATGTCTGCAGGAGAAGAAAAAGATGAAGCACAGAGAAAAAAGGTGGAGATCTTGGTTTCTCCAAATCAGAAATAAAAAATGGATAATTAAAAGACATAAAAGGATATAAATATAATGGAGAAAACAGACACAGAGGATGCGATTGCATTAAGCTAAAAATTTATAGTTACAAAGTGACACAAATATAGAGCACACTATGATCACTGGAACACAAATAATACTTTAAGATCACCTTAAAAACAGGACTATACAATTTGATGGAATGGTTCACTATGTTCTCCTGTATATAAGTTTTACAGGTTGTAGGATTTACTTTCAGCGAATTAGTCAACTTCAAAGATCTTAGAATATTTCCAGTCGATGAAATATTAAAGAAGAATCCTCAATTTACTTTCAATTAAAAATATATAACAACAAAGCAATAGCAATAATAAGAAGAAGTCAACAACCATAATTATAGGTAAAATAACCTGAAAATGGAAAATAATAAGCATGCTGAGACAGTATGAATTTAAAGTTCCAGACTTTGAATCATTGATACCATGTGTTTTGGCCAATTCCTTGACCTGCATGCAAAAATTGATACATCAAATTAGTGCATAGTTTCCTCACAGCATCATCATCTATTGATTTGTTATAAGAACATGCCAATAAAACCATATTGCAGAAACGCCCATCACTTGAACAGATGGTTCAAGATGCTTGAGTTCAACCTAAGGCTGGCAAGATATCGTTCTACCAGCCTTTCTTAGTAGAACCAAAACAGCTAATCAACCCCAGAAACATTAGGAAAGTGAGGGGAATGAAAAAATCCCTTGTATTATTCTCAAGGTAACAGTCCCGTAACCCAATTTCGCCTCGAGTAAAGCCATAGTGATGCAAATCTTATGCATGTAATATGTTGTGTATCAACCATGTATATCACATCTGACTTAGGCAATGTTTACCAATAAATGGATATTCCGAAAAAAATAAAAATTAAAGGTATAAATAAAAATAAAGAATATTTGCACATGTGAACTCTATCGAACATCTGTAGGTAGCTTTCTAGAGATGTGCCTTCATAACTTGTTTAGCAGAAAGGACAGTATTGTCTTACATGTATATCAAAATCAAGAGGTTTTCTTTGTATTCTTTGCAAGGTTTTACAGGTTATAGGATTTGTTTCACTCTTTTGGCACTTTTTCTGAAGAAACAAGCATTTAGGACCTCTCCCCAATTCTTATTACTTAATATAACGTTCATTGTTTTCTATCAAATATTTAAAGAAGAAAAATTAAGACAATATGAGAACTTTCCATCATAGCAGACATCTAATGACTAGAAATATCAAATTGCATAGGAAACATAAAGACAACTAGGATATGTATGTGAAGTTTCTTGGATTTATATTTAACAAAAAAAACCAAAAAACAAATAGCAATCATACACTTACCAGAAAAACCGTGCGCTGAAATGACCGATGTCTCACAATTTGTTTGCATATGTAGTTACAAACATTTTGTGAGTCGTCGGTAACATATGTAGTTACAAACAATCAATTCAAACCTGAAAACTTAAACATGGCAGAGTCAAATTAAGAGCTGAACCTGATATAGAAAACAAAGGGGGACAACACAGGTGAACATGAAAATACCTTTAACAGACCCCAAGAAAACGTTGCAACCTGTGTCCTCCATGATTAGTTTCAGCTGAGTCCCATTAAGAATGCTTGGATCAGCATTAACATCAGCAATAGCAGTTTCAATGGCAACCTTTGAAACTCTTCCAATGACTGAATTGTAAGACAAAAGAGTTCCAATTCTAAGAATCTCTGGCCTCTGACACTTCACATGGCAACACAATAGGAGTCCGTAAATCAAAACCCAAACGGGGTTATCCAAAACTGACCTCATTGTGGCATTTCAGTGAACACTGAGAATGCTTAATAGCCTTACTGATGCAACTTTCAATTCAGTTTGTCCAATAATTTGATGACCAATGCATTGTAGATTAGAGATGAGTCCAAGCAGACCAAATAAAGCTCACAAAGGCTCTCAAATGTATTCTAAAGTATGCTTAATATTTGTGAGCATTTTCTAGTGCTCCTGATTAATTTGCTCATATTTCAATAAATAAATTTAAGGGTAAATTAACAATATCTCCTTACAACACCAATTTCATATTTCTAGAGCAGGGAATTGCAACAACACCAATTTTTAATTCCATTGAATTACATATTAAAGAGATCGGAGAAGATGTGAAGATTTATTACCCGTTGAGAAGGAGATCGTCATAGAGGAGCATGCGAGCGTTAGGGTCGAGAGGGTCGGATCCCTGAATCTGGCGGTGGACGGAGGGAGAGGAGTTGCCGGAATAGCTGTTAGGAGGAGGAGAGAGAAAAAGGGGGAGGAACATGGTGTGGCGATTGCTGCCGCCGTGGGGAGGTCGGAGGACGATGGTGGTTGCTTGGCCAGAGGAAACGACCTCGGCCACGAGAAATAGTATCAAGACGGCAGTGGTGGTGGCGACCTGTGGCCGCGGCCGCGCCATTGGTGGGTGGAATTGGAGGTCAATGAGAGAAGTGAGAAGACGGTGGGTCTCTCAGCCAGAGAGAGAGGAGAAAGGGGAATTGATTTACCCACGGTTTGGGTTGAAAACAAAATACATAGTACATAATTAATATTCATTCGTGACTAAAGATTTTAGTCGCTAATTATTTTTTAATTGGTCTGAAATTTGAAATCTCCCTCCACATATTTTAGGTTTTTGGCGACTGAAATATTATTTTGTCGCTATAAATATACTTTTGGCAACCAAACTTTGGTCGCCAAAGATAAAAACTATTTTTTTTTTCTTTTCATTCGGCTACTAAGCTATTTTAGTAGCTAAAACTAACTATAAGGCGACAAAAATATTCTTTTGTCACTGAAAATATACTTTTAGCGACCAAATTTTTGGTTGCCAAAAATAAAAAAATAATTTTTTTCTTTTCTTTCGGCTACTAAACAATTTTAGTAGCTAAAACTAGCTCTACGGCTACTAAAATTTCTTTTAGTCACCAATTGTGATATTTTTAGCTACTAAATTTTTTTAGTGGCCAATAATCAATATTTCCCGACTAAAAAAATTAGTAGCTAAATATTTGACTTTTGCCGACTAATATTATTTTTGGTAGCCAATTCCGTAACTTTTGGCGACTAAATTTTTTTTGGTCGCCAAAAATGTATTTCCTACTAATTTTAAAACTAGTAACTAATTTAACACACATTGATTCACAACATTTCTTTGACTGAAAATAATGCTTGTGAACACTAGTTTAGTACATGGTGTGAGTTCAAATGGACCTGAATAAGGACATAATTGGAATTATAGTTACAAAAATACATGAACAAAACCCTTATAAGTAACTCTTCACGCTCTTTAACAAGTTAAGTGAGCTTTCTACACAATATTCCATAATCCTAGTGTTGAATTAGCCATGTTCATGTTTTTGTGTTGGAACCCTCCTAGCAAAGACCTTGAGGACCAGCTTCTCGAGGCTCAACTTCCTGAGGCTCACCATGAACAGACGACAACACTAGATTGTCGTCATCAGTACTGGTTTTTGTCAGCTCCTTCGGATGCACTTAACGATGAACAACTTGAACAATTGAGAGCTGCACTGGAGGAGTTGAATAAGTTTATCGTTGCGGGAATGATTCAGCTTGGGCTGGAGGTTGAAAAGCCCGAGCCATTCCCTGCATCACCGGATAATCAACCAATCCAGCCCAATCCATGATGTCTCTAATAGATTCAGTCGTGGTCATCATCCCAATCGATGTTATATGTGTTATTGCTGCTGTCAAATCCTAAATTTGTTTTTTTTTTGGTTGTCTCGAGTCTTGTTTAGGATGTTGGTTGTGATTGTAGTTTGTTAGCTATATCATGGCTTCTCCTATGTTCCCTAATTATGTTAGAGTCTAATTAATAATGAATAAAACAGCAGCATTATTGTTAATGGTTCCTTTCTTTTTATGTAAAATTTGAGAAAAAATGGGCACCCAATTGTGGATATATGATTGGCAAATCTAATAACAATGTAAAACTAAAAAAAAAAAAAATTAGTTTTAATTTTACTAGGGGGTAAAAAAGAAGCAAATGTGCTACAAAGCCTTGAATTGGCTAGCCAAAAGAAGATTAGAGCTTTTCCTTAGGTCTTAAACATATTTAGGGCATGCTAATAGGTTTGAAGCTTGAGCGAAGTTTTGGGTTGTTTCCAAGTTTATAATGTTTTGTGCATAGATGTATATTGTAAAAATTTGTGAGATTTTGAAAGAGAAAAATAACAAAAGTTCATATTAATATGAAAAATGTGTTGATAACAATTAATCGAACAATAGCTCAATCAAGAAATCAAAACACATGTATTTTATTTATAAATGGTAATTCGAAGTAGTTTTGTGGAAGCAGGACACATATGTGGATGGATAGACTGGAATTGAAACAAGAAAAAGGGTAATTTTTTGGTAAATGAATAAGAAGCTACTTTTTGTTAAATACATAAATAATAATACTAGTAAAGTTGTGCCTGAAACTAAGTCAAAGATCTTATAGAATAAATAAAAATTTATTTTAAAAAAAATAACGGTAGCAAATGATTTAGAAGGTTTGGAAAAAGAAAAAGAAAATTTATCTGAACATAATTCCAGCAAGTTTCCTTGCATTTCAAAGTGTTTTCTTAAAGTCTGCCCAATTTCCTTTGGAATTCTAAAAGTTTTATATGCCCTTTTTTCCCCAAAAGTTTCAAGAATTCCTAGAAAGTTTTCAATAAAATTATTGATTGCCACATCTTTTCTTTTATTCTATTGTTGTAATGACTTGTTTGTTGCTTATTATGTTTAAAAGTTTTAGAAGTTTTGCCTGGGAATTTTTTTTGAAGATTTCAAAAAGACTTTGTTAAAATTGTCACAAGATCCATTGATCGGATGATGTACTAGTCTCAATTATTATTTTTCATTAGTAATGATTATTATTAATTGTTCGTTCCTACATTATCTTTCTTTTAGTTGGTGATCACCGTTGCTGCATTTATTAGCGGCTTAATTGAATCAACCTATAGGCGCATTTATTTTTGACGTTGTGTAATTAATTTTGATCACATTTTATTCTATTGTTGTCCAGCCTTGTTCGTTGTTCAAAGAAAATCTTATAACGTTTTCGTCTTAAATATGTGAACATTTGTAGAAAGTTCTCCGTTGAAGTTGCCACAAGGTTGTTTGATCGGATGATGTAATAGTCTCGTTTATTCTTTTGTCGTTTATTATTAATTGTTGATGATTGCTGCATTTTTTCCTTTTCTTTTGTGGATTATCGTTGTTGCATTTATTAGAAGCCTTTTATTTTAAAGAATGCTTCAAGAAGTTCTATAAAGTTTTTCTTCAAATTTGCCACTTCATTGATCAACTGAAGTAATATGCTTATTTTGTCTTTTGTCGTTTTGTTATTAATTTTGATCGTATTTATTCTATTGTTGTCATGTAATTTTTTGTCATTCATTATGTTTGAAAATGTCCTCACTTTTCTGTTTTCGAATTATTCAAAGATTTGTACAAAGTTCTCAATCGAAACTATGACAAGATCCTTTGATCGGATGATGTAATAGTGTCATTTATTCTTTTGTTGTTTATCATTAACGGTTGATTGCTACATTTACTTTCTTTTATTTTTTGGATTACCGTTGTTGCATTTATTAGAAATACTTTTGTTTTTAACGAATTAAGAATTTTCTTAAAAAATCTTTTATCCGAATTGCCACAAGTTTATTTAAAGGGGTGAGGTAATAGGGCCCATTTTTTTTTTTAATTATTGATTAATGCATTTTTTTGTGGTTGTTGTTATTGTTATATTGTCCGCATGCCTTTGTGCTTTTGAAAAAAATATATATATATATTTACAAAAAAATTTGTTGACACCAAATTTTTATAAACTTATAGCAAAATAACCTTAGATAATGATTTTTTGGGCTTAAAATAGGTCAAGATGTGAAATATATATAAATTGAACGTACTTCAGTAATTTGAAAAAGCTTTCCAACTATACAAAATGCATTTTAATTTGATTTAAAATTAGCAAAGAAAAATTAAAGAAAAGCCCATAAGTAATGATAGCAAAAGTTTTTAAAAATATCATCTAAACATAGTTCCCACAAGTTTTTATGCATTGTCGAGTGTTTTCCTATGGTTTCCATAAATCCCTTTAGACTTCATAAGTTTTTCAATAGTGTTAGAAAAACTAATTAAACGTACCAATAAATATACCAATTAAACAAAATATTAGGTGAATCTTATTTCTGTTTCTTATATTATTGTAAATTTGTTAAATTTTTTATTTATTATATATATATATATCAGTAATATTAGATATTATGAAAGAAATATCATGAAAATTCTTCACCCTTGAATTAATTTGTAGCGTTTTATTGTATGTTATGCAATTACTCTTAGATTAGCTTTATGAAACTTTTCATAATATTTATTTCATGATATATAACACTACTCAATATATATTTTGGTGGAGTTCATTGACCAGTTCTTAAACCACCCTCATTAATTTTCAACAAATTATACATTTCTATACACACATAGATTATGTAAATCTGTGGACGTAATTAATTGAATTCCCAGACTGGATTTACATAATCTCTTCTTTACTCACAATAAGAATTAATGACGCTATGGGTCCATTACCATTTATGAAATAATGATAACAAGGACAAAACGGGAATTTCACACCCAAAAGGCAAGGAGAATTCGGGAGCTTCTATATACACACACCCTTTCCTCTCTATACAAATCCTTCTCAACACACACACTAAAAAAATAAATCCTAATATATTTGACTCACTACACACACCTATCATTCCACATATACCCCCAAATGTAAATCGTACACACACACCCCCTCTCTCACACACACACCCGTGACAGACCCCTCTCACATACACACACCCATCTGAGAACCCCTCTCACACACACACCCATCTCTCACACTCTCCACCGTTCCTCCCCAAAAGCTTCATCCATCCATTTGTGTCATTGAAGTATTGGCATTGAAGAGCATTGAAATTTTCACATTTTAGGTTAGTTTACACAGATTAGAATCTTCTCATTCCTATTTAATTTGTAATGTAGGGTTAATTCTTACCATTTTCGAAATTTTCAGTCCACCCCAATGCAAGTGATTACCGTGTTTCATTCGGAACTGGTTATTCGAAATTTTTGTTTTTGTTCGGCACTAGAGTTCCGAAATTTCTGCTTCTATTTGGCATTATAGTTCCGAAAACATTTACTTGGTTCCGCTTTCAAGTGCCGAAAATAATTTTTTTTTTTCGGTTTTCAACTTCCGAGTAGTAGCTATAATTTCGGACAACAACTTCCGAACAGAACAGGTATTTTTGGACAACAACTTCCGAACAGAATAGGTGTTTTCGGACAACAACTTCCGAACACAAATTTTTTTTTTTTTCCCTTCTAACACTTAATGATAACTCTTAATTATAACACTCACTACACACACTCTCATTAATTTTACACACACTCTCTCATTATAATTTAAAACAGTTATTATTTACACACACACTCATTACACACACTCTCATTAATTTTACACACACACTCATTACACACACACTTATAATTTAAAACACTGTCATTAATTTTACACACAC